AGTTCAACTTCCACATGAACGAAACCCAAAACTTAGGAAGCAGATAACACAAAAAAGGTTTCCTCCTTTTTCCTCATCAAGGTTAATTTGCTCATCAAGGTGATTATCACACTACCAGGCCTATGCTGAATAGCCAGTATGCCAAGAGCTTTCAAATGCATTGTATCAGGAGGAGCTTTTCTTGGCGCGGAAGAGCATCCTCATACTGTAAAGTGGGAAGAAAGTTCAGCTCTTTGGGTCAGGAAATTTTACTGACTGGTTGGAAAGGCAGGAGGATGATTTTTTTTTTTTTTACACTGACGGTGGTGAGGCACTGGACCAGGCTGCCCAGAGAAGCTGTAGATGCCCCATCCCTGGAAGTGTTCAAGGTCAGGCTGGATGAGGCTTTGAGCAACCTGGTGTAGTGGAGGGTGTCCCTGCCCATGGCAGGGGGGGTGGAACTGGATGATCTTGAAGGTCCCTTCCAACCCAAACCAGTCTACGTTTCTATGAAAGGCCAACACACGAAGCGAGTCCCTCCAACCAGCCTCAGAAGCAGGTGCTGCCCTGCCAGCAGGAACCCCGGCACGCCGCTCCCCTCCTCACCTGAGGTAATGCAGATCTGAGATCTCCTTCATGCACAGCCAGCAGAACTCGCAGCCACACACCGCGCACGTCATGTGGTTACAGCTCCCGGCGTTCATCTTGATGATGTAAGCGCTGCAACGCGGACACGGCTTGATGTCATCAGCTACAGGGAGGAAGCAGGAATTGAGTTGGACTTTGTGCTGCAAGTATGAAGAACCAACGAGAGCGTTCTCGTTACAGATCGAAACCCTTTCCTGCACGGGCAGAACACCTTCACTAACCACGGATAATCTAAAGACACAACCGTCCCCGCTTTATCTTCAGAGCGAGAAGATAACATTGGTGAGATCCCACCAAAGCCATCTGCCTGGACAGCAGCGACTGAGAACAACAGTCAAAAAGCTTATTCCAGCCTTGAATGGGATGTATTCCAGAACATGTTTAAATGATGGGAACAAGTCATACCTGCCCTGTGCCAGCCAAGGCAACAGCGCAAGAACAAACCATTACTAAATTGCTCCATGAAGGTGACTCATGGGCCAAGAACAACACAACAATTGGGAGAAGGCGGCGTTGGAGAAACTCTGAACCTGGCCTTCGAAAGCAGCCATAAGGGGAACTGGTCTGCAGCCGCACACGGGAGCCCGGTGCAGAGGCTGTCCAGTCCCTGGTTTGCTGCTGGTGGCACAGGATAACGTCCTTCATCTCTTCCTTAATTCAAGTGTCATCTGCTGGCAGTTGTGCAATGGCTGTGCGGTGGGTCAGGGCTCTGCTGGCAGCCTCTGCAACACTCAGCAATATGAAATCCAGCTGCTGAGACCAGCTCACACCTTATTAATCACTACTCTGAATCCAGTAAGAACAGGGTGGGGAAAAACCGCTGTCTCAAGAACGTCTCTTTCAGTGCTAAGCTCTTCCTGGCAGAGATCTCCTTTAAAAGGGTGTAAAAACTCAGAAACTATTTTTTGCTTGCTGGTTTGTACCGCGGGCTGTGGTTGTATCTATGCTGTCCATTACCAGGGACCTCTAACCGGGGCATCTCGAACCTCAACATACCACTGAGCCACCTCTGAACCACCCACGGCAGCGCCATTCTAAGCGAGTGTATTAACATTTTAACTCCTGACACAGAAGGAAAAACAGGCTGTTGTGTTTGGGGGTAGGGCGGGACTTTAGGAAACGGCCTTTCTGCCCACTTCCAGAGTCAATACAGTTATTTTTAATGAACTCTAACTCAGCAGACACAGCAGCTCCTACCAGGCAGCGTAGGAGTCTGTGGGTTGGCATTTTCTCTGTAGCTGCCATTACTAACACCTAAGAGCGTGCGGAGCCCGGCATGGATGCCACTCCACTACCGCAGCAGGCAAACTGGAAGTCGCAAGGCTGAAAAGCACCTATTTGTTCAGGGTTTAGATCAGCAAGAAGCGAGAACATCCGAGATCAAAACAGCCACAAGCCTAGCTGGGGCGGCTGAGGGGAGCTGCCACGACGCGGAAGGACCCAAAGCACGTCATCACCCACTGCTTGGCGTTCTTATAGGAGCCCGACAGACTTACAGAATCATAGAATCACAGACTGGTTTGGGTTGGGAGGGACCTCAAAGATCATCTAGTTCCAACCCCCCAGCCATGGGCAGGGACACCCTCCACTACACCAGGTTGCCCAAAGCCTCATCCAACCTGGCCTTGAACACTTCCAGGGATGGGGCAGCCACAGCTTCTCTGGGCAACCTGGTCCACTGCCTCACCACCCTCTGAGTGAAAAATTTCTTCCTTATATCCAATCTAAATCTACCCTCACACACACGAGAAAGGGAAACGACTCTGAGTTTCCCAGCTGTTCTCACCCAAGGCTGCTGGAGACCCTCAGCTGTGCCAGGCAGCAGCGTTCCCCGCAGGGCACCGACGCTTCCCCACTTTGACAGGAGGGGGTTTTGCACACAGGTGGCTTTTTCTCAGCTTCACAGGCATAACTGCAGCACCGAGTAACTGAAAAAAACACGTGAATCCATACCCGGCCCGGATTCCTGTCCGTAACTGAGGCCTGACGTGTGCTTGGTCCGTACGCGCAGCGTCTGCGCCCGTTGCTGGCGGGCCATGTCGCAGGTTTGGGTGGGATGCCATATCTGTTTGCAGTGGTAGCAGAACTCCGTCTGGCAGCCGTCCCTCTCGCAGGTCAGCTTGGGGCAGCTGGCACAGCCGTAGGCAATAACCGCGTAACTGGAGAAGGAAGACACGGGGTGAATTAGCAAAAGACAAAGTTATCAAGCGACGGTCCGGCGATCCTTTTAATCCATCCTGCCCAGGGGTGGCACGGGAGGCTGTCGCTGCCTGAGCTGCTGGTTGCAGAGCTGCTGCAGTGAGATCTCGGGCTAAGCCGAGTGACACGTGCTTTTACACCCGGAGCCTGCAGCAATGCTGCCCTGCGGAGCAGATCAGCAAGGCAGGTGGTCTTCCTCTCCCATCCCGTTTCTTTCACCTTATTTCGGATCACGGCCCATACAGCAGCCTGCACACTGGACAAATTCCTGCTCTCTCCAGTCCTGTGGCTTGCACTACAGGGCCTGAAATTAAGTAGCGCTAATTAGGCTACTTGGGGCAGATACCTTTTATACAGACAGCTTAAAATATTGAATTCTCTCCTCAATAACTGCTGCTGGTCTCACTGTCAATTCACACAGACCAGATTTGTCTTGCCTGGAGTGTCTGGCTAACAGCTTGCTGTTTCTCCTCATTTCAGGGTTCAAGGACAGGCTCGTGCTGCTCTTTCCAGGCACCTGTGGCTAAACACACACATGCTAGTTCCTTAGGACAGGCAAAGGGGTGGATGCAGTATGGCCCGGAGGAGTCTAGGAAAGCTGAGGTTGTCCTGGGCACTGCTATCAACTGAATGACTCTAAAAAAAGTGGAAAAACAGGGGTTTATGCAGCTATCTCAAGAAGCAAGCTCTTGCTGAGCTCCATCGAATTTCTTTTTTTGAGGAGCAGTGCAGAACAGTGCTCTGCCTCCAGAGTAAGCCAAAACTTAAGTAAAAACAACTGAATGTGCCAGAAAGGGAGCCCAGAGTCAGGATGTTCAACCAGCTCACTTCTTCTGATAGTGGTGTGATGCTTCCAGAAGGCAGCGTGCTACGTACACAAAAACCTGAGCAGCATCACCAGGCACCACTACAGGAAAACTGACTTACAGTCATCTGCGATGAGGTTGTTTCCACTGGCAGGGGCTAAACTGAGCAATTCCAGAAGCACCTTCCAGCCCTGCGACACCAGTACGGCAAAGGGTATTTTTGTCGATCATCCTCAGTATTTCTGTTAGTGGTCAGAGGACAACAACTCCTATTTAAGGTTTTATATTTAGAGCTTGTGTAGCTTAAGTTGTGTCGCCTCTTCTGAGGCGGCAGCGTGAGAACCGCTGAATGTGTCATACCACAATGATTCACATCCCGTGGGAGTTTGAGCAACTTCATCCTGCCAGGGTACGACACAATCGCCGAAGAAACAACCTCTCCGCGCCGAGCGCAGGGCCGGGAGGCACAACTGGAGGGTCTCCTCGTGCATCGACGGCCGCACGCTCCGGCACACGAAGCCGATATTCGAGGAGAGATGGGATATAGACAGCCTGGGGGCTTGGGAGGGTCAAACTTGACCCACATTGACTCCTACGCTTCTTGTCTAGGGAAGATCCCACTAAGCAGCTTCACCCTGCCACTATGATACAGCCAAAGACCTACCCCTGGCAAAAGAAAAAAAAAAGCTTCATCTGACCAGCTGTGTTATGACACGCTGCTATTTCAAATGATAACAGCGGGCTAGCAAAGCTCAGTGTAATATATTAAGCAACTCCATGCTCCAAATTAACCCCTTGCTAGAGATGTAGGGTTGGGGTTTTTTTTTTTTTTAGACACTGGAGCAAATCCTATAAGAAATGAAAACCATCACCATTTGTATTTTATTCCTAGAGCTGAAATGACAAATATCATTAACAAACCCACAGCTGCAGGGAAACAAACTGCATGGCTGTCTGTTAGGGAAGGAAAAAACACCTCTCCGAATTCAAGGTCAACTAGAAAAAGGCTGTTGGAGCAATGTGCCCAGAATTAGCCACGGCAGGTCTGGATGGCCAACACATGCCCCCTCTTCACCTGGCCTCGGACACATCGCTGCGTTAAACAGCCACTTCCAGGCTCAACCCCAGCCAACGTAAAGGGAAACTCTGACTTTTCCCCACACAGCAACGACAGCGAGTGTCTTCCTGAGACCCCAGGAATTGCACAGCGTTGCTCCCAGCCCACTCCTTGGACAGCCATGAGTTGCTTCCGTCCCTCCTCCTGCCGTTCTGCAGGAGTCGGAGACGGAGCCTCCCCAGTTGCCTCCAGCCTCATTCACCGAGCTCAGCCTACACAGCTCTGTTTCTTCAAAGGTTCTGTTATTCTCCCAAGCTTCCAGGAGAGATGCAGCGTGACAAACACTAGACAGCGACGCCACCTGATTGTAGCAAGGGAAAAAAGGAAAAAAAAGCTGCAAACACAGAAAATTATTTGTGTTGCGATTGATGGCGCATCAATTGACCAGCGTTTCCATGGCAACACGCACCGGTGTTGTGTTGGTCCTCCTCCTCCTCCTCCCCCCCCCCACCCCCTGGCAAAGACTGCGGTACGCGTGGAAGGCACAGGATGCTGCGTGCCACACACGCAGGGTTCTGTCCTCCGTCACCAAGCAGCCCCTTGCTGCCATCGCCATGGTGGTGGGTGACACCCAGCGCCGAGCATCGCCATGCCCCCAGCCCTGCGCTCCTGCTCTGGCTCCGTACACCAGCACTACTACGGTGGGAAAGCCTGCTGTAAATAATTCATACCCTGACTTTATATAAGCGCAGCGACACAAGCTCGCTGGGAAGAATGAATAGGGTGATTAATTCCTCTCCCTGCCAGAGGGCTGATTCCAACAGCCTTTGTTTGAGCGATACAGACACGCCAGCAGCGCTGGTCCGCAACAGCTGCCTGGTTTCCAACAACCAGATCACCTCTTGCTTCTGCTGGGCAGCTCAGAGGAGGATGCCCGTGCACATCGCCTGGCTCACCTTGCCAACAGGTGATGCTTTCGCTCGCACGAAGAGCTGTGTGTGACACCAGTCTGCCCAAACCCCCCAGAGCAACGGTCGGATCAGACTCACGCTGGTTTATTACTATGAAAAAGAGGCAACGCCCTCCAGGCCGTGCCGGGGCTGGCTCCTTCCAACCAGCCAGCCTGGGTGACGTATGTTGCATTTACATCTTATCCTGAGCGCAGATAAATATCCCAGCAGTCAAGGAGCTGAGATTCGGTAAGCAGGAACCGGATTTTCTCTAGCTGGTGAACAGCAGGGCCATTCCCTCCGGTATCGCTTTGCAGCCAGCATCACCTGCTCTATCTCCCTGATCTCATCCCCAGAGTTACTGAAACATCAAGATCCAGCAGTCGATTTTGCTTCAGAAAGGAGCAAAGCAGTTAACGTCGCCCTCTGAAAAACCAGGCAGCTCAGAGGCTGTGAAATGGGTAACCTGAGCCAGGTTAACCGATTTGCATAGGAAGGCTATTACACCGCTCTGATTAAATCTTCAGAACCCTCCCACCACGCTTTCCATTCTGACTACTAGGTCAGACTTTCCTTTCATGTTCTTGTTACCCAGAGCTGCAATCAAAGCTGAGTTCTGGCTAAACTTTGCAGCACCTCTCTAAGTTTCCGGAACAAAGCCCTTTTCCAGGCAGCTTTGGCTTTTACGCTCAAACAGAAACCTAACGGAGTTCATTTGGAGGAACAGAGAAGAGAAAATGAAAACAACATGCAGATAACTATAAAGTCATCAAGCTTGGCTGGAGCAACTTCTGGACAGACAGACGTTTCCTCACTTAGGCGTGGTGTTGACTCATTATCCATTGCCTCTGTGTCACGCGTTCACGTCCTTACTGGGAAAAAGTGACCGTTCACGGTTCCTTTTCCCCACCATGGAAGCTGCAGGGTGTCCCTGTGCACCGTCCCCACAGCTCGCAGCGATACATGTGGATGGGAAACTCCACGCTTCCCATTTGTACAGAAAAAAAGCGCTTTCTTTTAAATTAGGGAAACGATGGCTCAGCTAAAACCCCCTTCAAGTCCTATCACTCGTACCCAATTTGTCTCTATTTCCACAATCCCCAAGGTCAAATCCTAGTGCTCCAGCGAGGGAGCAGGGATGGAGAAAGTGTCATTTTGGTACCCAAGGCCCATCAACTGCCCTGAAGAGACTGCTGACAAGCAAGCAAAGAACACCTGCAACGAGGGCTCTTCACGGGACTCAGTAGGACCCGAAGCGTGTATCAGCAGCAGTACCCCACTGGGGCTCAGCCACCCTTTCCTTCACTGTCCTGGGACCCAGGAGGAGGGAGACAGCACCCCAGTGGGTGGGATGCCATCCTTAGGACCTGCTGGGATCAAGCAGCATCCCACTGAGTCAGTGGGTCCAGGACCATCCCAGCTGTTCCAGGACCTAGTAGGGACAAGCAGCACGCTATGAGGACAGAAGGTTCCACTTCATCCAGCTGTCCCAGGACCTGCTGGGCACAGGCAGCACCCCACCAGGATGGGGGTCTCCCTCCCCAAGCCATCCCAGGACAGATGGCTGGGGCAGCACCCTATGGGGACAGCGGGTCGCCCCTCTCCCCAGGCTGTCCCAGGACGGAAGGGGCAGCCCCCCACCGGCTCCCCGTGTGCCCCCTCGGTACTCACCCGCAGTCGGGGGCCGGGCACCAGCGGCAGTCGGGGTCGGCGGCGAGGCAGCGGCGCAGCATGAACTCCTCGTACTTGGCGACGAGGTGCTGCCTGGGGCAGCACCCTATGGGGACAGCGGGTCGCCCCTCTCCCCAGGCTGTCCCAGGACGGAAGGGGCAGCCCCCCACCGGCTCCCCGTGTGCCCCCTCGGTACTCACCCGCAGTCGGGGGCCGGGCACCAGCGGCAGTCGGGGTCGGCGGCGAGGCAGCGGCGCAGCATGAACTCCTCGTACTTGGCGACGAGGTGCGGGGAGTCGCGGAGGAGGCGGCGGATGTCGGCGGGGTTGAGGCGCTCGCTGCACTCGGGGCAGCAGATGTTGACGCGGGACTCGGTGATCTCGATGCGGAGGTACTGCCGCAGGCAGGCCCCGCACGACCGG